AACCCCCGGAGACTAGCAAACTCTGGGGCACCACTTACCGACGGCCTCTAGCCTCTCCCCGTCACCGATCGCAGCCCAGACGAATCCTTACCCTAGAACCCAGTTATCGACACCACGGAGTCTGAACCACTCCGAGGATCCTGGGAACCGAGTTTTAGAGTCCTCCAACGAGGATTGAAGCGGAGCTGTACCTGGAAACTGTCCAGCCTGCACCGCGACCATCTCCGGTGTAAGTAAATAATCTTTTCAATCAACCATTACGCCTCCGTGACTGATTCTAGCTCGAGCGTACTACTCCACCCCGCGGCTTTTCTCCGGCCCCGCGTACCCGGGCTGCCGGCCACAGCCCGCGTGCGCACAGATGGGCCCGGCTCGCGCCCAGCAAGGACGGGATCAGGAGCCGGCCCGCACACTTTCCATAGGAGAATTCATACTTTTTTTTTTAATGAGAATGATTTTTATTACTTTGGATTGTCCATTTGCTTCAAATTGCATCTTATTTCTTTACATTTTCAGTACAGTACAGATTGTCAGAACCTTTTAATGGTGCTCTCTCAAAAGAGCTTTTTGAATAGGAGCTTATATCAAATACCAACCTTTCTTCTCTTCATGCATGTGCCACAAATGAACCCAATAAATCCATTGATGACTTGAATAAGACAAAGGACAGCTTCAACTGTACCAATCCCCAACAGAAGAGAAAATAAGACAATATTCCAAATGACAATGTTTTCAGGTTTTTTGCAAATGCTCCATGTTGTCTGATTAAACAAATAATTGTATCTGCAAGTAGAAAACATAGTTGAAATCTTGTTACAAAGTGTGATATAAAAACATCACTTCTTAGGGCCCCTTTAATTGAAGGGTAACCTACTGTGGGTAAGCTTTCATTTGTCGTAGGGTAAGAGCATGTACACAGGCAGCTAGCTCAGCACTGCTGATGTCCTGCAAATCCCTGTCCTCTTTTACCTTTGCATCACTTATTTGGGTGCCTACAATCATAGACTGTTAGGCTGGACTTCATTCCCTCCAAATTTGTGTCTTATGAAGTCGTTAACAAAAGTGTGAAGTGAGTATAAGACTCATCCATAATGACATGGTGGGTGCATTTACTCATGCCATTAGCACGGGACAATAAACTCCAGTGCATATTGTCCTGGAGTTTATTGCTCCTGGAGTCTGAATGCGTGCCTGGGACCACAGCACATTGAGCTGGGTTGGAACAGCCCCAGCTGGCAGAGGGTCCCAGGGCTTAGCCTGCCAGCCTGGGGTTGCTCCCCCATGACTCAGTGTGCTGCAGAGGGGCTGGCTGGGGCACGAGGGTGCTCCAGTGCAGGGCTAGCCAGCAGGTAGCTCCCTCAATGAAGCAGCCTCGTGCCCCAGTCAGCCCAGTCAGTATCTACAGCATCACAGTGTCTTGCTGTGGAGTAAAAAAACTCTACAGTAGGATAGTACTTGTATTTATAAGTACTAACCTACTGCAGAGTTAGTTTGCTCTGTCCTAATAGCATTGCACGTGTAGATGCTGAGATGTTTACTGGGCACATCTACCCATTAATTCCATAATTTGCCAGAATGATAGCGTATTTAGTACCTGTAATAACATGGACTAACTTAATACTCCATAATTGGTGCTACTGTGAATTAGCACAGATGACCAGTTTTTAAGTGACATTTAATGCCCACTGGACTAATCTACTGCACATTAGCGCATTAGCACTTTTTTGTGTCACATGTCATGCCATGTGGTGCTACTGTGCAGTAATAATGAGCTGCTGTGCAGTCTTGTGTAGACAAGGCCAGTGTGGGTTTTGTGTCATGACCAAGGATCCTGGTTTTTTCTGATTAAAAAAATCCCCAATTTTTGTATTAAAAAAGTAACCCAAAATCTATATTTTTCCATGATCAAAATGTAACACCACTAATGTATAGATATATCTATATCTATATCTCTCTATATATCTATATATATATCTATATATATCTATATATAGTGATGTTTCATTTTAATTATGGAAAATTTTTGAATTGCTTTTTTAAGTAAAAAAATTTGGGATTATTTTGTTATCAGAGAAAACTAGGATCCCTGGTCTTGACAGAGGAACATGAGGACGCTTCGCTGCAAGCGAAGTGACATGCACAAGGAGTACCTAGGTAAGTGACAGGGGCCAGGGCAGGCTTAGGAACAAAGGTGTGGCATGTGCACCTACAGGAGGCCTCAAATGCTGCTACACAAATGCTCAAGGCATGGGGAATAAGTAGGAGGAACTCGCCTCCTGCTAGCTAGCAAAAACTCAGACCTAGTGGGACTCACAGAAACCTGGTGGGATTCTACCCATGACTGGGCAGTGGACATTGAGGGCTACAGGTTGTACAGGTGGGACAGAGCAGGGGAAAAAGGGCGCAGTGTAGCGCTCTTCGTCAAAGAGCAATATATATCCTCAATGATCAGGATGGAATCAGAAGAGGGGCTAACTGAGGCGCTCTGGGTTAGAATTCAAGGGGGTTGTGGGGAAAGGGACTTGATAGTGGACGTCTACTACAGCCTGCCTCACCAGGGGGACGAGCTGGACCTGGAATTCTCAGGTCAGCTCATGGAGGCTGTAAAGGCAAGGGATGTGGCTGTCATGGGTGACCTAAACTATGCAGACATCTGCTGGGAGGAGCAGTCAGCCAGGTCCGACCGCTCACATAGGTTCCTAGCCAGGATACAGGACCTCCACCTAACCCAGGAGGTGCATAGTTCCACCAGGGGAAATTTCTTGCTGGACTTGGTCCTTGCCACAGGCGATGAACTGGTGAGGGGTCTGTGGGTACTCGACCACCTGGGCGACAGTGATCATTGCCTGCTGGAATTTACTATCCAGCGCAGGGTGATGAAAGCAAGCAGTAAGGCAAAAGTCCTTGACTTCAGGAGGGCCGACTTCAATGAGCTAAGAAGATTAGTAGGATAGGCATTGGGGTCCCAGAGCTTCAATGAGATGGGAGTCCAAGACGGATGGTTGTTCCTCAAGGAAACAATCCTCCAAGCTCAAAGGGAGTCAGTCCCAATGAGCACCAAGCAGGGCAGGAGTGCTAAAAAGCCCCCATAGCTTGGCAAAGAATGCCTGAGGGCAAAAAAGAAGGCGTACAAACAGTGGAAGCAAGGGGCCATCACCAAGGAGGATTACACCTCCATTGTGCATGACTGCAGGGAGGCTGTTAGGAAGGCCAAGGCAGAGCTAGGACTAGTGACCAGAATTAGGGATAACAAAAAGTCCTTTTTCAAATACGTAGGGAGTAAGAAGGCACCAAGGAACATGGGGCCCCTACAGGACAGGGTTGGCAATCTGGTGATTGTAGCTAATGAAAAAGCTGACCTCTTTAATGAATTCTTTGCCTCCATATTCCTGAACAGGGATTAGGACATTACCCCCACTAGGATTATGGATGGACCCAGGGGAGGCACCGCCATGCGTAGGGTCAGGGATGACCTAGTTAGGGAATTGTTGGAGGGGCAGGGCATGTTTAAATCAGTAGGTCCAGATGCTTTTCACGCAAGGGTGCTGAGGGAATTGGCGGGGGTCATAGCGGGGCCCCTGGCATGGCTTTATGAGTGCTTGTGGGGCTCTGGCCAGGTACCAGAAGATTGGAAAAGGGCCAATGTGGTCCCCATTTACAAGAAGGGGAGAAAGGAGGACCCAGGTAACTATAAGTTAGTTAGGCTTACCTCGGTCCTTGGGAAGACCTTTGAGAAAATTATCAAGGAGCACATCTGCAAGGGCACAGCAGGGGAGGTAATGTTCAGGGGCAACCAACACAGGTTCACTGAGGGCAGATCCTGCCTGACTAAGTTGGTTTCCTTTTATGATCAGGACACAAAGTCCCTGGACGAGGGCGTGGAGGTGGATGTTGTCTTCCTGGACTTTAAGAAGGCCTTTGACACTGTTTTCCACCATATTCTCTCAAAAAAACTAGTTGACTGTGGCATTGATGCCTACACAGTAAGATGGGTGGCAAATTGGCTAGATGTTTGTACCCAGAAAGTGGTGGTGGACAGGTCGTCTTCGACCTGGAGGGATGTGGGCAGTGGAGTCCCCCAGGGCTCTGTCCTGGGGCCTGTACTGTTCAACATCTTTATTAGCAATCTGGATGTTGGGGTGGAAAGCACCCTGTCCAAATTCACTGACTACGCCAAGATGTGGGGTGAGGTGGGCATGCTGGAGGGGAGGGACAGAATTCAGCTAGATCTAAACAGGTTACAGAGGTGAGCGGATGAGAATAGATTGGAATTCAATGCAGACAAGTGCAAGGTACTGTATCTAGGGAGAAGGAACCAGCAACACACCTATAGGCTGAGGAACACCCTTATTGTCAACACAGAGGCCGAAAGGGATCTTGGAGTCATTGTTGACTCCAGGATGAACATGAGCCACCAATGCGAGGAAGCAGTCAGTAAGGCTAACCACACCTTGTCATGCATCTACAGATGCATCATAAGCAGGTCCAGGGAGGTGATCCTCCCCTCTATGTGGCATTGGTCATGTCACAGTTGGAGTGTTGCGTCCGGTTCTGGGTGCTACACTTCAGGAGGGATGTGGACAACATGGAGAGGGTCCAGATGAGGGCCACTTGCACGGTCAAGGGGCAGTGGGTCAGGCCCTATGAAGAGAGGCTGAAGGGCCTGAATCTATTCAGCCTCCAGAAGAGAAGGCTGAGAGGGGATCTGGTGGCCATTTACAAACTCACCAGGGGGGGATCAATGGGAATTGGGCAAGGCTCTGTTTCCCCTGGCACCACCCGGGGTTACTAGGAATAATGGCCACAAATTGTTAGAGAGAAGGTTCAGGCTGGACATCAGGAGACATTACTTTACTGTTAGGGCTGCCAGGCTCTGGAATAGACTCCCAAGGGAGGTGGTGCTCTCTCCTACCTTGGGGGTCTTCAAGAGGAGGCTAGACAGATATTTGGCTGGGGAGTTATGACCCCCACTCATTCCTGCCCAGGGCAGGGGGTCAGACCTGATGATCTGTTTAGGTCCCTTCCCACCCTAAGCACTATGAAACTATGACAGTTTTAATGGTGAATAGAAATGTTCACAAAACTTCATAGATTTCTCCACCATCTCTAGTTCTGTTGCCATATGCCACCTAGTTCTTCACAATTCTTCAGTTCACTGACATTTTGCCAGCTGTCGTCAGTGTTGACTAGGTAAAAGTCCCAGGAGGAGACTTTTGCTTTGGTTTTTTGGAGACCTCTCTATAGTCCTTTTGACTGTCATCATACACTCATCACACATATTTGCTCAGTAGTTCAACAGAACTCATTAGTGTAACCCATCAGTTCTAAAGCAAGACATTTCCTAGAGGACAAGCCTTGGAGCAAGTAGGCAGTGGCCATGGGCTGCTAATTTAAGCATATGGTCTCAAACTTAGAGCAGAACATCCACCCACTTTGTAAAAATCTACATTTTCCTTAAGGAAGAGGCAGAATTTACCTTCTAAGTTGGAAAGGCCCCTTAAATCATACTCACTTGAGTGTGTTGTTCCTGAAAGGGTAAATATATTCTCCATCACCAGTGTCACAGAGAGGTCCATCAATCAATCCCATGGAGGAGATAGTCACACAGTAGGCCCCTCCGGCAACACCCAATACAGCCAGAAACACAGAGAGCAGCATCTGAAAGGAAGATGACCTTCAGCACCATATGTGTGGATAAACAGAGTGTTTTGGACACCCTAAAGTATGAATAGATTGGTCGTGAAGGGTTGAATGCACCTGATCTTATCTGATCTTGGAGCGAAGTAGTGTTCTGCCTGGCTAATACCTAAGATTCCATGTTGGTATCTGTTGGTATAAACCAAGGAGGCCTGGTTGAACACTCAGTGGGCATGTCTACACATGCATTTTAATGTGCAGTAGCCTATTTAACTGTGCATTAAATCATCATGTAAAAAACCATGTGATTATGCTAACGCAAGATAAAATAAGCTACTGTGCATTAAGCATCATTTTAAAACAGTGTGCACTCTTTACTGTACATTAAGGCAGCCTACTGCACATTTATTTAGTACCTCACATTGGTGGTACTAAATTTAATGCACATTAGGAAAAACACCTTAATGCACATGTAAACATGCCCAATACAGGCTAAACTATAGGAACCAAATGAGTTACAAGACTTTGACTGCAGTTTTGCTGATGGGAAGGACTGCAAGGAAAGGAAGACTGGGTGTATCTATGCATCCATTAGTGTGCCGTTATTACTGCACATTAAGTTTAGTACCTGTAATAAGGTACCAACTCAATGGGCATATCTACATGTTCATTAATGTGCCATGATTATGGTGCATTAAGTTTAGTACCTGTAATTACATGTATTAACTTAAAGTACCATAATCAGCACTTCTGTGCATTAGCACAGATGAACATTTTTTTGTGTGATGTTATTGCGCATTAGGCTAAATCTACTGTGCATAAGCACAAGCTTTGCCCACTGTGCTAATGAAAAGTAGAATTAGTCTACTGCACTTGAAGCATCTTGTGTAAACATGCCCAATGTGCAGTAACCAGCATTACTGTGCAGCAGCGCCAACACATGGTTTTTTTGTAATGCTAATGTGCAGTAGACTAATTCTACTGTGCATTAGCGCATTAACATGGCTTTTGCCATGATGTACTAATGTACAATAGAATTAGTCTACTGCCCATTTAGCATCTCATGTAGACATGCCCACTGTAAATAGTAAAGGAATGTCTTTACATCTTTAATCCTATGAGCAGTAATTAGCTAGGAGAGATATTGGGTCTGAATCACTTCTGTGGGAATATGAAGCTTTTGAAACTTTCTAAAGCTGGTGAAACTACCCCGTAGAGCCGTGAGGGGGCTGATCCTTGTTGCTGGCAGCAGGTGTACGTGTGCCTCTGGGTGGACAATAGGGGAGGAGCTGGGGTTGCACTGCCCTGGGCCCTTCCCTGTCCTGCACCCCAAGGGGTGTGTGCAGTTGCCACCATCATGGAGCCAGTGCCAGGGATCTGGAGCCTGGTACAGCTGTTTGCAGCTTACCCATTGCCTGCTGCAGCTGCCCAGAGCCTGGGCAGGCTGTGACATGCTGAGCAAAATGGCTTCATATGCCATGCTGTGGCACACATCCTGCAGATTGCCAACCCCTGATCCAAGTGTCCTGGCATTATACACGAATTACTATAGCTATGTTTAATTTCAACATCAGCATTTTCTTATTTCTATGTGCTCTTGGAGAGCAGGGTTTGACAATAAGGAAAAGAGATAGGGGCCCCAAAGGAAAAAACTGCAGGGGGTGGGGAGCAGTGTGTAAGGCAGTTATCTGTCCCCATGGATTTATTTTCCCTGCTGTAGCTGTGGAAGGGGGACAAATTCAAGGCAAACCTCCAATAATTAGATTCTATATCTGAAAAATTATAACAAATTTATAAATTTTCCATATATAGAAGCTATTTAATAGGCAGGGCAATACAGTGTAATTTAGGGCTTTTCTCACTTATATCTTGGTGGTCAGCATGTTTCTGGAGGTTAACACCAACTGCTGAAAGATATCAAAGCTCTCCTTGGCAATTAGTTTCCAAAATCTTCATACCCTCTTCCGTAATGAAAGATTGAGCAGAAACTTAATGAAGTTAAAAGCAAGAATTTTAAATGAAGTAAAGAAATAATTAGTTGATGCAACATATAATTAGGCTGTGGAAATCACTGCAAATTGAAAAGAGGAACATAAATAAAAACATGAGACATACATATGCATATCTTACATCATTATCATTTGCTATTTGTTATTGCAGGAGCACTCAGTGCCCCAGCAAGGATCAAGGCTCATTGGACGTGTCTACACATCCAATTTTGTGTGTGCAACTACACATGGATGCACTAATGTATATTAAGGCACGTTAAATTTAGATGTGAATAGCTAAGTCATATTACCACATGTGCAGATGCGCTAATACATATTAATGCAATGTCTATCCATTGACGCACATCACATTAATGCGCATAAGCACATCTACACATTCGCTAATGTGACTTAGCTATTCGCACATAAATTTGATACCTGTTTTATGCAGGTATCAAATTTAGGCTCGAATAGCCTAAAATTGCCATTTTTAAGGTGCATTAAGGGCATGCATGTGTAGACTTGTGCCCTTAATGCTCCTTAAATTGGGCTAATGTGCATTCAATGCACATGTGTAGACATGCCTGTTGAGTAGGCGCTGTACAAGCACATCCTTAACCTGAAGGGCTTTGGTGTGTCTATATAATGTGATTTTTAAACTAGTCATTTTTAACCCTATCAATTGATTAGTCTTTTAGTCTTTTTTTTTTCCATTTGTGAATCGTTTGGGAAATTTTTGTCAAAGAGCCTAGCAACCTTTACGTCTTCCTTGACACCATCCCACTCTGAATAGGAGGACTTCCCTGTAAAAATGATCTGCTTTCATATCTCATGTGTTCTGATGTCTATAAATCACTCCACAGTGCCTAAGCAGTTGGGGCTTACACGCTACTTAATGCCTCACTGCTTGCTGGTGATTCTCTCAGTCAGCCTAATCCTTTTAGATGTATCCAGTCTTTACTTAAAGACAATTGTCCACCTTCCTGCATCAGCTATTCCAAAGGTTACTCCCTCTCAATGTAAATGTGGCTTTATTCCTAACTTGAACTTGCATGGCTGCAGCTTCTAGCCACTGGATTTCCCTACATCTCTCTCTGTAAAGAGCTACCTTCTACCAGACTTTTCTTTCACATACAAGTATTCATATTCTGCTCACTAGCTGTTGTTGTAGTTATCTGTTTCTGTTGTCTTTTACACTTTATGTGCATTGACAGCATGCAGCAGAATAGAGGTCTGAACCTGCATTGAGGTGTTTGACACGACTGCAATACAGTAAAGATTAAGTGTACATCCATCATCTGTCAGAGTAGCAGGACAGTGAAGACAGGACCCTTGGGAGCCAAACCCAGACCCAGGGCTGGTTTGGATGCAGAGGTAGGGCAGCACATGGTAGGGCAGTGTGCAGTCAAGCATGCCAGCCAGATGCATACTATTGAAGAGGATCAAGGAAGTCAGGAGTGGGAGCAGGGTTTGAATTACAGGGGAGCTTGCAGGGGCTGAGCCCCCCCATAAGAGACAAGAGCCCCCCTGTAAGATTTGAATCATAAGCTGGGGGGGTCTCTGATTTTATTAGGGCATTGTGATGGACAGCCCAATTTTTTTTGCACACCCAGATGGCATGTCTACGGAGGAAGTAAGGAACTGGGAGGAAGTCTGAGAGTCTGTCTGGTGGTGATGGACTGGAAAACCATCCAACAACTGCTCATACTGTAGCTGTAGCTGTGAAGTCCAGAGTGTTGTAAAATCACCATCGCTGCAGCCTATTGGATACAGCACTGCCCTGGGCCTCAGGAGATCCAGGTTCTGTTCTGCTCTCCTGACTGTGAGCAAGCCCCCTCATCTCTCTGTGTCCTGGTTTCATGTACAAAATGTTCAGTCATTGAGGTAGCACTACCTGGGAACTGGGTATTATCCTTAACTAGTTAATTTTAGTGAAGCACTTGGTATAGGTAAGAAGGTATTATGATTAATATTAAACATTAACTGGAACATAAAGATGGAACATTATAGCACAGTGTCACTAATTAGAGGCTTCTGCTACCAAGGAGATGGCATGGAAAAACATTTCTATGTCAATATATCCTTGCTAATGACAACTGCTGTGGATCAGAAACAATGAACTCTGAGCAGGGCATGGAAATTAATTGGGATACAATATGTTTGCTGGGTAACCTTTTTAATCAACAAGGACAGATTCTCTGTAGCCAGGGTGTGGGTGGGACAGAGCACAAAGGAGTCTTTCCCCATCTTGTGTGTATAATTCTCTAGGGAGTGTGTGATACAGGTCCCCCTCTGTCTCTGATGTAGCCCCCGACAGAGGGGCTACATCAGTGGTGGCCAAACTTTTTCAGCTGGTATGCTACAAGTTAAGCCCCACTGCCACCCCCACCCAGAGTGCTGCTCTGATCTCCACCCCCGCAAAATTGGTGACTTCTCAGAATTTGCACCACCAGAGTAAAGGCTTTGGTTCCTTGCTTCCCATATAGAGCTGCAGTGGTTGCTGGGCCAGGGGTGGGTTGACCTGGTTCTTGGCAGTGACATCTGATCTCCTCTCTGCAATGACATCCTGTCCCCCAATCTGTCTCTCAATCCTGTCTCTCAATCAGCCCTCGCCCCCCACCAACCCTGCCCTGCTCCACATAGCAGGAAGCTTGAGCCCCTTTGCCTTCTTTCTTGTGCCTAGGGCTCCTGTGCCACACATAACAGCTGCCCATGCCACTTATGGCATGTGCCATTGGTTGGCCACCCCTAGTCTATGGTCTTTGTTTTTAGGTTTTGTTTTTTAGCTCAAGCTGGAGAAGCAGGGGCTTCCATCTCTAGGGATAGGAACCTGGTTCAATCTCTGCTGTGTTGGCAAAGATGGCAGCTGTCATATCTGCTGTTTTAAAGTCAGAGATTATTCTAATCCCTGCATTTGAGAGAGAGCAAAGATTTACTAAAGCAAAGTAAAATGCCTTCATTTAACCTTAGGTAGGTGCTATGTATCTATCATGTATCTACATACTTGCTTGCTAAATGATACTTGTAAACTCAGTCCAGTGATGCTTCGTGTCAACCCTATTTCTGCATTTCAGTGCTTGTGTGCATTGTTGTATCTTTCCATTTGTTCAGTCCCCATGGAAAAGCCAGTTTTCAATTATCATTTTTACTGTCTTTTCAATACAAAAATTGCTGCTTACCCCACATCTGTTAGCACAACATCCTCCAGCTGCCCCCAGCATCATGAACGCGGGCAAAATAACCTGCAAGAAAAGCACATATTGAATTACTATGTGAGATTTCCTTGCACTTCTCAGTGGTTTGAAGATCAGGTGGAGTGAGGTCCAAAGGTTGATGCTGCTTTAATTTAAACCTTCTTCTCACTCTTCACTGTGGGTGTATCTACATGTGTGCTTTACTGCTGAGTTTAATAACTAGCTCCACAGTAAAGTGTCACCATCTGCACGGGCACCCTTATTAGGGTGCAGTAAATTAATTAACTCTACTGTAGGATAGTACTATCCAGGACAAGTACTACCCTATGTAGGAGTTATTTAGTGCGCCAAAATGCACGTGTAAATGGTGACTGTAGCTGGCTGGGGCATGAGGGTACTATAGTGCAGGGACTGGCTGATGGCTAACTCCACACTGTAGCACCCTCATGCCTCATGCTGCCCCTCTGCATCACATTGAGCCAGGGCGGAGCAGCCCCAGGCTGGCAGGCAGACCCCCTGGGCTGCCTGTCAGCTGGGGCTACTTCACCGTGGGTCAACATGATGCAGTCCCAGGCACGTGTGTAAACGCTGTACCCAGGAGCAATAAACTCCACCACGAACTGCACCAGAGTTTATTGCTACATGTTAACTGCACATGTAGATGCACTCAGTAGGCACGTCTACACAAGGCAATTCGCAGAAGACTAATTCTACTGTGCATTAGTGCGATAGACAAAGCCCTTAATAATGCACTAATGTGGAGTAGATTTAGTCTAATGTGCAGTAGCATCACAAAAACCCCTTCATCTGCACTAATGCACAGTAGTGCCAATTATGGCACATTAAGTTGGTACCTATGTTAACTTACTAAACTTAATGTGCAGTAATTACAGCACATTAATGAACATGTAGACATGCTCAGTGTGAATTACACTGACTTTCACACACTGGAACACTAACTTAAGGTAGGTCTGTACAATTTCTGCTGGAGCTGGTTGGGAAATTTCTGACAATTCTTTTTAGTGGAAAATGCTGATTGAGTTAATAGGCAGACAAGGTTATTTAGGTAAATCTAATATCTTTTATTTGACCAACTAAAATAGTTGGAAAAATTCTTCTTTGCGAGCTTTTGGGTACAAACACCCTTTGTCAGTCTGTGGTTCCCCTGCGTGAGCCTTCCTGCTAGCACTTTCACCTGGACAGCAAGCTCACCAGGCCTCCCACCATGTAGCCCTACCCCAGATACCCCAGCCACTACAGCAGCAGCAGCTGGGCAGAAGCCAGGAGGACTTCATGTTAACCCCTAATGGGTTGGATGTGGCCTATGGGTCACCAGGTGGATAGCCTGGGTATAAGTTTTTGTCCTTTGACAATATCTTACCCATGTTTGAATTTATTGCTCCAGAGTTTATTGCTCCCGGGCACCGTGTGTTCACGTGCATCCAGGATTGCAGCATATTGAGCTGGGTCAGAACAGGCCTGGCTGGCAAGGGACCCCGGGGGGTCAGCCTTCCAGCCAGGGCTCCTCCCCCTTGCTCAGTGTGCTGCAGAGGGGCTGCTTGGGGCATGAAGGTGCTTCAGGGTGGGGCCAGCTGGCAGGCAGCCCCTACACCGAAGCACCATCATGCCCCAGCCAGCTGGGGCAGTGTCTACCCATATGCTGCTGGGGAGTAAAAAACTCAGCAACAGGATAGTGCTTGTGGGTGAATCCAGATGAGTGTAGTCATGTGGCATGTGATGCCGCCAACACATTTGCAGCACCACATACCGCACAGTCTGGTGTCCTCCGCACTGCCAGGGCACACTGCCCAAGTGTGTGCTTCTCTGTTGTTTTTTTCTGCAGGGATTTTTTATCTCTGGATATTCAGGGGTCAAAAAAAATGTGGAAAAAACCTGCAAAGCAGTGCGTGCTCAGGCATCATGCGCTGCTGAAAAGTGGAGCCAGGCTGCCCAGAGCTATGCTGTGGCTGCCAGCCAGGCTTTGCTTGGCAGTATTGCCGTGGCTGCAGCCCCAGGAGACCCTAGGATCCCAGGTAAGGCTGCTGGGGCCAGCACAATGCTGGCCCCAGCCTCCCCTACTGCCCCCGGGGTAACTTGCCACATGTCAAAGATGGGCGTTCCCCAGGGACAAGTAGCTGTGGCACAAGGTTCAGTACTGCTACTTGTCACTGGGGAACCAAATGTCCACGCGTACCTGGATGCACCCTGTGTTTACAAGGACTATCATGCTGAAAAGTAAATTAGTTTACTCCAACTTAATAAGGATGCACATGTAGACATGCAATGTTTATTGTGAAGCTAATTAGTCCACTGCATAGTAAATGTCTCATGTAGATGCGCCCAGAGTCTCCAAAGGCAGCACAGGCTGGTGCTTGTAGTTTGGGGTGTAAAGAACATGAAAGAGCTGCTGGGTGTGTATCTAACAGCCAGAATGAAGACTCCACCATGTGCTCAGAACAACCGTCTGCTGTTGTTTGTGTAGGTCTTCCACAGAGCAACATGGGAGAGAGAAACATTTAAAAATATATATAAAGTTGGTGTTGTAAAATTGGGAAAGGGAGGAAAGGAGGACTCAGGGTCAGGTGTAGTACATGAAAAGACTGCTAACTTTTTTTTTTAAAAACAACATGAAAGATGGACAGTTTTAATTGTCAGTGGGTGCATCTACACAAGACACTTACTGTGGAGTTGACTAATTAGCTCTACAGCAAGTGTCTGAGTGTCTACATGTATGCCCCTACAAGGGCACACAAAACTAATAAATTCTGGGGCAGGCTAGTAATTGTAAATACAAGTACTACGCTGCTGTGGAGTTTTTTTTCCTGAGCACAGCACATGTGTAGATGCTGACCGACTGGCAGAGCACAAGGGTGCTTCAGTGCAGGGGCTGCCTGCTGGCTAGCCCAATGCACAACACCTTCATACCCCAGCCAGCCCCTCCACAGCACACTGAGCTAGGGAAAGCAGCCTTAGGCTGACAAGCTGACCCTCGGGACCCCCTGCCAGCTGGGACTGCTCTGACCCAGCTCAATGTGTTGCAGTCTGGGTGCACATTCAGACTGGCAGCAATAAGCTCCAGAGTTTATTGCTGCACATTAATAGGCAAGTGTAGATATACCCAGTTTAAAATGTAATTGCCTAATAAGTGAGCCTCCATGGAGAATTTATGTGAACGGAGTATAACTAACTATTGGAATTTGACTAGGACATTGATCTACCATGTGCACTGGACTAGGACATTGACCTCTAGCGCAGTGAGTTCAGTGCTGTCCTCTAGAACCACGCTCAGCCTGTCACAGATACTGACTGAGAAGTCACTGTCACCTGGTGAGTCAACTGCCCTACTTCCTGCTACACCCTGCCTTTTCCTTGCAGATCTGCCCAAGCTGTGAGCAGGTTATTTTGTCTATGCTTGGTTTGAGCTGTTTTGCTTGGCTCAATGTGCATGACTTTGTTTGTCACTAGTCTCTCTCTCCAGTGACCGATTTCAGTACTCTGCCTTTTGAGGTCAAAGGAAAATTTGCCAGGAGGCTGGTGCCAGTGAAATGAAGTCTGTGGGTTTGATGTCGCTCAGACAGTCGTTTCACAGTGGTGCCATTCTGCATTCAGATTGACTCATAGTCTGCAGAACTGAGCACTGTTGACAAACTGAGTCATTCTTTCTTTTTTCAATTTCCTTATTTTGCAAGTTCAGAAATTTAGGATTTTTAAACAAAACAGAGTTCTGCTTCTTTTGCAATTTTAAAAATGGGAGTGGAAGAGGAGAACATGTTTGGAATTAGTCAAATCTGGGCACTTAATGGGAAGAATGCTCTTATGATTCAGTCATTGGTCTCAAAGACAGGCACCCCAAGCACCCCTGTTCCCTGTTTGAAACACCATCCTGTGTGAATTTGAGTAAGTTGCTTAATATGTTTCTACTTCAGATTCTCATCAGGAAAATGGGTATAATAACATTTTTCCTCTTACTCTTTGTCAGGTTCCATCTGTCACATTCTGTTATGAAAAAACACATCCATGTAACATTGTTGTTTTACAAATCAGTAACTTCCTAGTGATGTCACCTCTCTTTCAAGGCTCAGTGCATACTCTTCCTCCACTCACATTTTTAATGTGCTCCACCCTGGCCACAAGGCAGCCTTATGTAGAACCCATAAAATAAATAATTTTCTGAATAAGACTGATGCAGAGATGCCATGCTGAGCATCAGTCCTCCTTTCATTAGCAGCCAGTGCCTCCTGGGCTTTGAGCAGTGACTTTTCCACCAGGGTCTGTTGTATAATTGTCAGCTTCCTTTAAGTCCCATCTGCATACAGTCAAACTCAGCATGAGTAAAAGGTACATTAACAATATATGAAGTAGGAGGTACATCAAAAGAGGGCAAATTATTCATAGTGAACTAGATGAATTTAGCATATTTTCTATTCTGAAAATGTGTGTGTAAGAAGGTGCTCAGCCTGCAGCTTAGCCTGAGACCCACCTGCAGGTAAACAACAGGTAAGAGCTTGCCTGGCTGGAAAGCTAGCTGCAACTGAAAAGTGGATTATAGTGGAGGCATAATGGCCACAAATTGTTAGAGAGAAGGTTCAGGCTGGACATCAGGAGACATCACTTTACAGTTAGGGCTGCCAGGCTCTGGAATGGGCTCCCAAGTGAGGAGGTGCTCTCCCCTACCTTAGGGGTCTTCAAGAGGAGGCTTGGCAAATATTTGGCTGGGGTGATATGACCCCAGCACCCATTCCTGCCTGGGGCAGGGGGTCGGACCTGATGATCTGTTTAGGTCCCTTCTGACCCTAAGCACTATGATGCTATGATACTATGAGCCCTAAAAGCTCCAGGGGCAGAAGGCAAAGGGGAGAGATGGGAGGTTGTGGTGTTGTGGGGAGCAGTACAGTGCCTAAGCTGTTCTCTCAGGGTCTAAGAAAGGCTATAAGTTTTGGTTTATCTGTTTGTTGTACATTTTTTGTTGTTGTCTGTTTTGTTTCTGTGGGAACAAGTTTGCCCATGAAAAATAAACAGGCTAGAAATCCTGAACACAGAGCTGACTGGCCTTGAAAAGGAAGCTAGGTAAGTGACCCATTTACACCAGGCATGTCTGCATGTATATTTACGTGTGCCTAAACTTAATGCGCCTTTGCTTAAGGCACTTTAGGCACATGTCTACACGTGGATGTACTAATGCACATTAAGGTGCATTAACTGTAGGTGCAAATAGCTAAGTCACATTAGTGCACATGCAGATGTGCTACTGCACATTAACTTGGTGTCTCTCCATTGATGCACACTGTGTTAATGCACATTAGCACGTGTATGCGTTTGCTAATGTTATTTAGCTATTCATGCATAAATTTGATACTTCTCTCTGAGCAGTATCAAATTTAGGGTCGAAGGGCTCCTATATATATATATATATATATATATATATATATGTGTGTGTGTGGAGCCTGTTCCAATGTACTGGAAATCCAGTGCATCGGAACAGACTCAATCAAGTCTGTTGGAGCACAGAAATTGGTGGGCTCTGGCAGCCTTCTGTGTCACGTGTATCAGGATCCCTGAGAGCCCCCACACTGAAAAAATGGTGGTGGGGCACTTTGAAATAAAACACTTTCCAAGAGCTTTAGTTCAAAGTGCCCCACCACTATATTTTCAGCTTGGGGACGCTGATACATGTAACACACAGGTGCTTTTAAATTAGCACAACTTGCAAATTAAAGCTCCTGGTGCCGCGTCTCCGAGCACATGTAAAAATGTCTGAATAGCCTAAAATCACCATTTTTAAGCGAATTAAGGACATGCATGTGTAGACGCATGCCCTTAATGCACCTTAAATTGGGCTAATGCCTAACAAAAGAAATAGTCATTGTTCAGATGTTCAGGCAGATAAACCTGGTCAGACAGACGTTCCTAGAACAGTGGACACAAAAAAGAGGGGGCGATATGAATATGGCTGAACTTAGCAACTACTTGGAATTTAGCAGTGACTGAGTGGTTCTGCTCTAGATGCTGTTTGTTTTCGCTGTTTATTATTATCATTGTCATGAGATGTACAAACAAGTTCCAGTTTTTCCCTTAATAAGCCTCATAAAACATCTGAGACTAAAACCAACAAAAGGAGTAATAAAGTAATCAATTGAAATGAAAAGTTACACAGTCACCATTGCTGAATTTAGACATCAAGCTACACTATGACCAGCAAAGAATGTTTCTGTTACTATTCTTTATGAATGAGGGAAGGCCTGATACTTTTGTTTGTCATACGAAACTTTGAAGTTCATGGTATGCCAAGATTTTCATCATTAAATTATACTTCTTATTCAAGTACTTGCTTTTTAATCTTCCTGGTATATCACTTCTAAGTTTCATACCCTCTTCTCCAGATAAATTAGCTTAAGCACAAATATAAAAGACAGCCCTATTGATCTTTGTTAAACTGATAGAGGCTTTCATAAGCCTCAAAACTGGAATGCTTAAAACAATAACAAAATTTATCTCTTACCAAGATCCCAGCTCCAAGAATGCCATGGAAAAACCAGACCAAATCAGTTATCTCGTTACTCTCTAGAACTTGTCCATTGGGGAAGTATAGGAGAAGGTTGGAGATGATAGCACAGATAGCCAGGGGGAACAGCATGACCCCAATGCACTTCGAGCACTTTCCAGTGCACATGGTAGATCAATACTAAGGAAAGAAATGAGAAAAGAAAGCCTGGGTTACTTTGTGCTTTAAAAACATGGAGGAGTAGGACTTCATGTGAGTGAGAAATTTTTATAAAATATATGAAAATGGTGCTGAAGCAAGAGAGTTTTTTTCCAAGAAAGGTGTTACCAAATAGAGCTATTGAACCCCCTGACCCCAGTTCTGTGTTCAAAACTGGGCCAGGTCAATAGCAAACAGATCTTGGTCCTGTGTGAAATGGCTATGTCCTATGTGCAAGTAACTGGTAATTCATTTGTGATCCTAGCAAATAACTGTATGTCTTTGAAAACACTAGCCTGATTGTCATTAACTGGCAACCTTCCTGGTAGTCTCAGCAGTGAGATCCAGGACAGAATAAGCAGGAAGACTGAAGAATTCTCTTACAATTTGAGTTGCATCTTCACCAGGAGATACAATAAAAGCAAGGTTTGGTTAAAGCTTGCGTTGTTGCTGCCTGTGCTGGGCTAGTTTAGTTTGTAGGAAAGAGGACTTCAGTTAGCAAGGCTATGGAAACTGACACTTATATGAGCACTTAGTTCACTTAAAGGGGAAAAATGGAGTTCTGTGATTATACCAGTAGTTGCTTGAGACATGCATTAAATGCTTGTTCTGCTCAGGGAGAAGTTGCAGAAATGTGTTTGTAGTGTGCAAAACAGTGCTCCTGTATTTTCTGGCTCTTGGGTTTTTTTGTTAATATATCCCAGGGGTGGGCAAAATATGGCCTGCGGGCTGCAGTCTTTGTCTGGCCCACGGTGGGTCCCTTGGTCCCCTGGCTTAGGCATAGTTCAGCCCTGGCATGTCCTGCCACCCACTAGGCACACGGTGGAGTTGGGGTAGCTCAGCACCTGGACTGCTTTTTCTAGGCAGCCCAGGTGGCAGGCGGCTCTTTTTGGCTGCCACTGCCATTGGCCCCACAGTACTGGCAGGCACCTGTGCTGTACAGCTCTGATCCTGTGCACCCTACACCTGCTCCAGGCTTGCCTGCTCTCAACAGTGGCGGCACTGGACAAAATCTATTGCTCAGTGCAAGGGGAAAGCAGCCCCTCCCCCTCCCACTGCCAACAGTCCCCTGCTGCAGCCATCTGGAGCCTGTGCTGGGCTGCCCCACATCTACACTGCATCACTGCCACCTCCAGGCTGCCCCATGTGCAGCATGGGTCTCCGCTGGTATCGCAGGGCTGGGGCTGGTGGCAGCAGAAGGAGCCATTGCCTGGGCTGACTAGAAAGGCAGTCCAGCTGCAGAGCCACTCCAGCCCCGCTACATGTCCAGGAGGCAGCAGGACGCACCTGGGTGGGTGATGTGGAGCAGGCACTGGGCAGGCTGGGTCAGGGCTGTGCCAGGTTCTGGCTGGTCCACTCCACAGGGGTGAGTTCAGAGTGAGTGCAGGGCATGCTGGGACTGTGCACTGCTGGTGGTGGTGGGGAGGCACCGCAGGGCATGCAGGATTTGGGCTGTTGTGAGGCAGGAGCAGGTCCTGACCGGCTCAGGCACATGCAGGGGAGTCTCATGCACCACCCCCCATACCCACAAACCCTGCAACAACACTGTCCCCAACACACAATCACACACCCCACAAACACTGCACCCACACATACCTTTCCTACCCACACTGACCCCCTCACACACACACCCAAACACTTCTGGGGGGACCCCTACTCGCTGCTATGTGCACACCCCCGACTACATATATACCCACACCCCCCATGCACAGCCTACACCCATCCCTAGCCACCCTCCCCTTCCACATACCCTAAAAGCCCCATACCCACACACTCTCTCATACCTACACATACACAGCCCCCCACAAACCACACACTCTCCCCTCCATATCCCACCACCCGCCACACTCCCCTACAATATACAAGAGTAAGACTTCATTTTGAGGTATTATGCAATCGCCTCTATATACACCACACAAACATACACAAATCAGGACAAAAATATTTTTTTTAAGTAAAATTAAAATATGTTATTTTCATTGTTTACTTTTTAGTATACAATTTGGGTTTTTTTCTGATTCCAAGATGGCAAACCCCCTTCCCAGAAGGAGTACTTCTGGGGGTAAGGGGAGATACTTCTGGTGGCAAAGGTCAGGGATTAGGGGGTGGGACTTCCAGTCCCAATATGGTGACCAGGGGGCAGGGCACCTGTCCAGGGGTGGAGCTACCCTTGCAGCCCTCGACAGCTCACCAAAGCTCATTAAGCATCCTTCCAGCTGAAATAATTTCCTGCCCCAAAATATCCCCTTTGTACTGAAAAATAACTTCTGAATCTTGTACTCCCTGGTGGAAGCTAAAGCATATGGTCTCCCTCAGTGCCAACAGAAAAACTTTTCCATGTTGCTAATTGTGGCGGCGGCGCTCTGCCGTCACGGGCGCAAGGAGGGGCGAGGAAAGGCTGCAGGGCAGACAAAACCCCGGAACAGAACCCCAGAGGGGGTAAGTTACCTCTGGGAGACCCGGTGGTGCCGGAGATGAGACCGCGGCGGCAGCTGCAGCCGCAGCTACAGCCGCGTGAACCGGCATTACACTGGCTATTTAAGCAGCTGTTCCCAGTAAGGGAGATAGCTGAGCCAATTGTGGTGGCCGATATGGCCGCTGCAGGAAAGTTTAAAACCCCCCAACAGCACCCGCAGGGAGGGGGAGCCAGAGAGAGGGGGAGAGAGCAGGCAGCACATCTGGCGTGCTGAGGCTCCTACTGGGGAACGGCACCAGCTAGGCTGTGCTGTACCAGCACAAGAGGCCGGGGAAGGCTCTCAACCACCAGCAGAGGAAGAGGCAGGAGAAGCCTCTAAACCACTAGCAGAGGAAAGCAAGGTGAAACTTCCTGCCTTGCAACAGGGAGCGAGCAGGGAGAGGCCAGTACTCCCCTTGAGAGGAGGGAGGCAAGGGGAGCGACGAGGTACCCTCCGTTTGCCAGCATTGCCCCTAGGAGAAATAGAGTCAGGGACAGGGGCAGAATCCCCTGGAATCCACTGAAGAAGGGAAGGCAGCTCTGGGAGCCTCCCTACCCAAGGGGAATATTATTTCTAGAGAAGTTAAGAGTGAAGGACGCAAAGAGATAGCAGAAGAGCCAGAGAGACAAGAGGATGGGCTGGCCGAGTTGTACAGTGAGTCCGAGTCCCTGCATTGGTGAAACTGACAGTGGGCAAACCCGCAGAGGACCGAAGGTCACCATCCCATCAGCACATGATCGGTTAACATGGGTGTTAATTCTGGTACTGGCAAGCAAAGCCTGCTTACTGATGCAGCTGCAGTGGTCCAAACTGTACATAGAGAAAAAGAAACCTCAGCTTGCACTAGTGCCTCTTATTGTTGCTTGAATCCAGGACCTGCTTCATCACACAAATCTCACCTTTCTTTGTCAACACTGGAGGGTTGCATCAAGCTGTGTACAGACATCTGAGGAGATTAGATTGTGTTAAAAATAGCCACCTGACCTAAGGTAAGTCGAGATCGAGGAAGGGGGTTATTAGATCAGGTCAGCCATTTTTAAAGACCAATCTAACTGTCCTGAACTTCTGTAGAGCTCACACACAGATCCACCTAACTAATGTAAGGTCTACACTTGGGTGAACAAAATTTGATCAGATGGCCATTTTAAAAATTCAATCTAACCTCCCTGAATATCTGTATGCAGCTCCAGTGTGATTGCGTTGGCAGATGGTTACTGATTTGCTTGAACTGAGTAGAGTTTCTGAGGAAGACAAGGTCTAAGAATGAGAGGAAGGGCATAGTTTAGGTTGTTGAGATGAGCCTAATTTCGGCTGATGTAGGATGAGCAACCTGTGAGGCATGGAGGATGGGGAAATGACCAATATACATGGCTTGTATGATATATATGCAAAAACTTATACATAATTAGGGACCTACTCAATTCACAATTTTACAGAAATCATGAAATTGGGTGATGTGTGCAAAATCCAGGGTGGGGCAGGAGGGACCAACTCCCCAGTGGGAGACAGCAGTCCTCACAGCTGCTGTGGCCTAGTTACACAGGCTGCCAGGGAGAGAGGGGGGCTGGCAACATGAAGGGGATCAGGCAAGATGGCTGCTACCACTGCCCCTCACTGCTGATTTGCTGAAAAGGCTGTCTGTCATACAACACCGCCCCTCTCCACCAGTCAGCAGCAAGGGGTGGGGCCACATGTTGGACAGCGCTCAGCCAATCAGTGATGAGGGGCAAGACTGACAAGCAGCTTTCTCCACCAATTAGCAACAGGGGGGCAGGGCCACCAGGGCCCCTCGGCCAATTGGAGGCATGGGGAGGGTACAAAAATACCAGCCAGCCCTGCAATCTGCCCACAAAATCAGCCTCCTGCCTCCTGGACTTGGGTAGGTCTCTATACATAATGTATGCAAATGTAACCCTACCTATGGTCTACATGGAAGGCAAGGTAGACTTACATCTTGCAGACTAACCAAGATACAATGTGTGTGGGTGTGAGGGTGTGCTACACCACAAGCTTTTTATGAGATGAAGCTCACTTTTTCAGATGTTGTGACAGGAGATGCAAAAAGCAAAGCACATGGAGGAGAGAGCAGATAGAATATCCTGTTTGATTACAGTTATGTCTGTAACTGTGTATTCTTTATCTGCATGCCTTCATTAATATGCAGGTTTGAGGGGCAACTCATGGTTTTTACTGATTGTGGTCTTGGCTAATACAGTTTGAGGTTAAAGTGGTCAGTTATAAAGGGCAAGTGGACAGATTTTGTGTTTATCTGCCCTCCCTCCTGAAATTGTGAAGTTTGTAGGCATGTGAGTGTGGCCCTGAGAAAATTTTGGATTTCCCATTGAAAATTCTCGGCATGTGCAAGGGTAAAGTATCATTTTTCACAGAATATGCACAGAACTACCATTGATCTTGGCAAATGGGTCCTGGTAGGTCCGTGAATATACTTTAACTGTGCATGTGTGGCAGGCAGGCACACAGCCATAGGTAGCGGAAGCCCGGGACTAATGGGGCCTAGCCCCCTTAAGCATGGGGCAGCACAGAGGGCTGCAGGACAGTCTGGAGGTAGGCTCTGGGCAGCTGCAGCAGGTGGGGAGGGGTGCGCACAGACAGGCACAGAGCCAGCATGCAGCCAAGTTTGCAGCCAGACGGCTGGCTACCACAGCAGGTAAGTTGGGGAAGGGGTGGGGGGCAGGGGGGCAGATAGAGGCCCCCACAGGGAGGGAGGAAGTGGGGCAGGGGAGGGGCTGGGGTGAGTGAGACTCTGGGGAAGGTCATGGGATGCTCAGAGCCTGGGCAGCCCATCCAGGAGCCAGCCCCGGGGACCAGTGGTGGCAGGCATGTGGCATCACACCATTCCTGAAGCAGTGGCAATGGGATGCAGAACCCAGCCTGCAGTGGCAGCCCACCTCCTCCCCAGACACAAATCCAGTGGGCATGTGCCCCCTGTGCCTCTCCCAAGGCGTGTGCAGCAGTGGGAGTCCTCTCTCCGTGCCCCCACAATGCCCCTGGATGAGCTACCCAGGCTCCAAGCATCCCACAACATGGCTTCTAGTTGGGAGCTCAAGCTAAATTTGAAAAATTGGTGTGAAACCCCAAATTTGAACCTAGCCCTTCTTACTGCCATCCAGTGCCTGGCAGAAGGGTTACACACATTTTTGTAATGCTAATTTTTAAAAATTATTATTTCCCAACTGATCCTCAGCTGTGTATTTGAAATACCCTTCAACTTAGCCCATGTGCACTGGCTGACTTCTCCTAGGTACAGTCACAGAGGTGGTTCATGAGAAGGCATAAGAAGGAAGTAACTAAGTAGCTTTAGAGATGAGTTAAAGGAAGGCATCACATGCGTAAGAGGCAGTCTAGAAAAAGACATGAATATACCTAAGCAAGGTTAAAAACCCCTAAACAAAGCTCAGTGCACAGTTGTGACCAAAAAATGCCAATTAAAATGTTGAGTATAATTAAGAAGGACATCTAAATAATAATGTATTCTGATTTATTTTCATTTTATATCCCACTCTATCCAGAAAGGCTCAAAGTAGCTTACAATACATGACAACAACAACAGTAAGTTTCCCAAACAGCTCTTCTCCTCCACAGTTGTGCTACTGTATAAATCCACGGTGCACCCATGTCTTGCATGCTGCATGCAGTTCTACTCTCCACATCTTAAAAAGGATATAATGGAATTGGGAACAGTGCAGAGGAAGGCAACCAAGATGATCAGAGGTATGGAGCCATTGCCATACAAGAGACTGAAAGGGCTAGGACTCTTCCTTTTGTAAAGGAGAAGGCTGAGCTGGGTGTGATAGAGATCTATAAAGTCATGAAGGGTGTGGACAAAGTGAATAGGGAACTATTATTCACCATGTCCCAAAAAACAAGAACTAGGGGGCATCCACTGAAACTAGCAGGAGACATGTTTAAAAAAAACAAGACGTGGAGGTTTTTTGTTTGTTTTGACTTGGTTGTTCTACCTGGGGCATAATTGTGGAGCTTGTTGCTACACAAAGTTGTAAAGGCAAATAGAATAGCCATGTTCAAAAAGGGTTTAAACAAATCCATGCAGGACAGCACCATTGGGAACTGTTAAACAGAACAGTGTGAGCCATGTATCCTCTCACAGCCCTAAACAAAGGCACCTGGTGCTTGGAAATACATGCCATGGGAGATAGTGAGGATGCCAAGAGCCACTGCATTGCCAAAAGGCAGTAGAGAGCGCTGAAGTCTTCTTCTGAGTCTGAATTTCTACAAAGAGTAATTAGCATTGTTCTGTGCTGCTACAGAGTTTTAATAACAATACTTATTATAAACCACATTTTCTGAATATTTTTAAGCATAAGGGAAAGTAATTAAGCTTTAAGAGCAAGTTAGCTCTTAGCTGCTTTAGAACAGCTGTTTAACCAAAGTACTACCTGTCTCACTCTCATTACAAACTGTTTATATAATGCTCAAAAAATTGGGCAGGACATTTTGCAGATATTTAAAAAGCCCCAGATCGAAGGGAATAATTTTTTTTAAGTTGACAGAAAATGTGTGTGGAGGGGACAGAATGGATGTAGCACTAGATATTTTCCAGCCTCGCTTATTTCCTTTTCAATTTTGTGCATTTAATTTAATGTTTTAACATTTTCTCACCTGCCCTTGCATTGTATTTTAACCCATGCCCTTCCTGGGCCTGCTAACCCTTGCCTATTTTCTATACTGTTTTCTTTATTCAATCAGAAGCAAACAAGGAAACATAATCTACCCCCTTGTTTTAAGTCAGATAAGAGAGATTCTAAAAACCTTGTGCAGCATTCATGTGTATAATCCTCCACATGGTGCATTTACATGAGATACTTTGCTGTGCATTAGACTAATATGCAGTAAAGCATTGCTGTCTACACATGTGCAGCAATTACTGGGAAGTAGATTAGTCTAATGTGCCATTTTTCTAATACCAGTAGATACAGGCACTACAAATTGGTGCATTAAACTAATGTGCTAAAGCACTCATGTAGACGCTGACTGGGAGCAAATTGCTCCCAGTCAGCCTAGGCAGCAGGGGCCACAAGGGGTGGAGAGAGCTATCCCAGCTCAGTGGAACACTGCCTCCCAGCCATGTGGAGGTCGGACCACATCCCAGTCTCCATGTGGCTGGGAGCCCTACAAAGATCAGGACCAGCACCTGATCCCCCTGCCAGACGGGGCAGGCACCTGGCAAGCCTGGAACTCCCCTTGGCTGCTGCAGGGGCACATAGAGCAGGGCAGGAACAGTCGTGGACTACTCCTGTTTAGAGCAAATTTGTTCCCAATGGGCACAAGTTCAGATGTGTGCTGGGTCAGAGTTTAATGCACCTGAATTTTCTATGCAAAATATTCATGCACATTAATTGCATTTGTAGATGTACCCACAGCTCCTCAGCTGGTATAAAGCAACATAATTCCATTGACCTTGAGCTACAGTGATTTCAACTTGGTCCACTATCACTGACATTACCAAAGAAATCTACCTAAGCATCGACAAGCAAATTTAGTGAGTGCTTCTCCCATAAAAGTCAATGCAGCTTGCACCTACTTAAATCACAGCTGATTCTGGCCAAGATACAAAAATTAGCGATGACATACCAAACACAAACATTTTTGCTAATCCTACAAGTGTCAAACCCATTCCTAACAACTTTGGGCAAGCTGCTGCAGTAGCTTTTTGGTTCTTAACTAGGACTCTCAATATGTTTCATCCTGTAAAGTTGAGGGAAGTAAGAAAATATCTTGATGTACTTACCTTGATGTACAGGAATAAAATAGTTACTGATGCTTCACGTCTTCACACACCAAAGTTAATTTTTAACTGGCTTCAAGTTTTTATCTTTCTTTTACCCAGTATCCGTCTGAGAGGCACAGATATGTTCTCAAGCAATGGATTCCATTAAACAAAGAGCAGCTTCTCTTCAAAGAATGAGGAAATACCCCAAACTCTGCCTGGTTAGTCAATGTAAAGTTTATATCACCCTGCAACATTGATTTTTTTTAAGGCACTGTTTCATTGGTCAATGCCCCCCAAGGTCACATTGATTTGCAGTAGGCTGGCACAGTTTTTTCCTGCCACAACCTTTTAAATTGTGTGCGGTGTCACAAAGTAGGGAAGTCAAGACAGAAGTTTACTGCACAAAATTAAGCTGTAAGTATTGGAGCCAAAGGGCTAGACTATAAATACAGTCTGATGGTATAATGCAAAGGGACACTGGGAATAAGGCCCCAGCCTTTTTCCACAATATACACTGGTTTCACAGGCAGCTATTAGTCTGAGTGTTTGAGCTCAAGCCTGTTGGACCGTAATGATGGTGCAAGAAATGGCAGCATTTTCCATAGTCATTAGGCAGGGAGGCACAAGAAGTCTACTCTTCCTTCTTCCATTACTTCCGCATAGTCCCTTAGCTGTGTAGAGACTAGAAGACATTCTCCCACTGCTAGGTGCTCAAGAGCACTACTGGCTCCCAACATGCCCCCTGCATGGTGCAGCAGTGTCCTGGCACGCTTCAAACTGGTCAATGGCCAGCCAAGAGGGGAGGGAAAGATGAGGAAGAGATGAGACTCTAAATGTATGTGGATAGAAGGCAGTGTGCCAGGGGACGGGGTTGGGAAGGTGAAGCACTAGGACAGGGAACAACATAGGGGTTTGTAGAGAAGGGATGTAGGTGACAGCAGGCAGGCTTGAGAGAGAGTGATTGGGGTGTACTGCTGAGGCTGAGTGGTGTACTTGTGTGGGTATGGCTACATTTCGTAGAATCATAGAAAACAAGGGTTGGAAGGGACCTCAGGAGGTCATCTAATCCGGCCCCCTGCTCAAAGCAGGACCATCCCCAAGTAGATCATCCCAGCAAAGGTATTGTCTAGCTGGGTCTTAAAAACCTGCAAGGATGGAGATTACACAGTCTTTCTGGGTAATCTGTTCCAGTGCTTTACTAGCCTCTTCATGAGAGATTTTTTCCTAATATCTAACCTACATTTCTCTTTCTTCAACTTGAGAATATTGACCTTTGTTCTGACCTTTGTTCTGTCATCTGCCACAACTGAACAATCTAGCTCCATCCTCTTTGGAACCACCCTTCAGATAGTTGAAAGCTGCTATTAAATCCCCCCTCAATTTTATCTTCTCCAGACTAAATAAGCTCAGTTCCCTCAGCCTCTCTTCAGAAGTCATGGGCCCCAAGCTCCTAACCATTTTCACTGCCCTCTGCTGGACTCTCTACAAATTATCTACATTCTTTCTGTAGTGGGCGGCCCAAAACTGGACATAGTGCTCCAGATGTGGCCTCACCAATGCCAAACAGAGGAGAAGAATCACTTAATCTGCTGGCAGCACCCTTACTAACAGCCCAGCATGCCATTAGTCTTCTTTGCAACAAGGGCACACTCTTGGCTCATACCCACCTTATTGTCTACTGTAACCCCCAGGTCCTTTTCTGCAGAGGTGCTGCTTAGCCAGTTGGTCCCCAGCCTGTACCAGTGCATGGGATTGTTCCATCCTAAGTGCAGGACTTTACACTTGTCATTATTGAATCTCATGAGCTTTTTTCGGTTCAATCCTCCAATTTGTCTAGGTCTCTCTGAATCTTAGCCCTATGCTCCAGCATATTTACTGCACCCCTGAGGTTGGTGTCATCTGCAGACTTGTTGAGGGTGAACTCCATTCCATCTTCCAGGTCGTTGATAAAGATCTTGAACAAAACTGGCCCCAAGACCAACCCCTGGGACACTACACTTGATACTGGCTGCCAACTAGACATTGAGCCATTGCTTTATTACCCTCTGAGCCCAATGATCCAGTCAGTTTTCTATCTACCTTACAGTCCATTCATCTAACCTGTACTTCCTTAGCTTGTTTGCACAAATGTTGTGGGAGACCGTATCAAAAGCCTTGATGAAGTTAGGGTATATCATGTCTGTCCCGGGAGAGAACGGGGGGAAGGACCCCAAATAAGAAAAGAAAGTTATGGGGGACAGAACGGACAGGAGGGAGAGGAAACAAATATAAAAGTTGAAACAAGAAAAAACTACTCACTCACAGCAGGAGCCGCGGCGCAGCGGGAACAGAGAGAGAAGCCTGCGCGGCTCGTTAGCCGCGTCTTTATTCAGCTGAGACCAGCCAATGACATCACCAGCAATCACCGTCTGGCAAGAATAAAAATGGCCAACAGTGGAGGAAGAGAGAGAGGGAGAACAGACCCAAAGAGTGCGGGGCCACAAGACCCACTTCGGGAATCTCTCAAGGAGGAAGGAGCACGGGACGAGGAGCCAGAGGAGACTCCTGACGCTGGCCGTGACACCAGTGGCAGGGAACAGATCCTCAGTGCTGGAGACGACCCAGAAGCAGCCCCTGCAATTTGCGAAGGCAGCAGCAACAGGGGAAGCAGAGAAGGGCACGCGAAGACCCACACCATAACAGGTGGGAGTATTGGGAGCAGTTGGGAAGAGAAGGAATTCTCCCCACCGGGAGAGCTCCAGCAGGAGCAGCAGGAAGGGCTACAGAGAAGCAGGGCACTTACCCTGAACACAGAAAGTAGTCAGCCACACACTGAGGAACTACAAGGCACCCGTGTTGGGACGCCCTGGAAGGGAAAGAAGTGGGGCAGCACCAGGCTCATGGAGGAAGTGGAAAAGGAGGAAAGGATGACCCAAGCAGGAGGCCAAGGGTACACGGCCCCAAACAGGGGTCATCCCGTAGCTAGACCGTAGGGAACTAGACACCTGGTACCTTGACGTAAGGAACCAGGGAAAGGAGTTACTAAGAGTCCTAGCGATGCAGTAAATGTGTTGTCTTGTGCTTTTCTTTTGCGTTTTTCTTTTGTTTCCCCATGTGAAGGGGTTGAGAGATAGGAGGGGCTTATATAAATAGAATAATTGGTGCAAAGCCCAAAGGGCTTCACATAGGATTCAGGCCTTAGGGTGGGAGTCCACTCTAGGTGAGTACAGGCTCCACGATTGGGACCTCTGAACGTATACAACCCGTGATGGAGTAAGTGAATCGGCCTCAGGAGCTGATACCCAGGATGGGAAGGAACTAGAGAGGCTCCACAGCTATGTGCGAAGGGGTACATGGCCCAGAAGACTAAGCAATCCATCAAGGTGGCATAAGGTTGGGGTGTAGGTGTGGCAGAGCCCCACAGGTGACCGTCGGGCAGCCCGTGTGCCGCAGAAGGTCCCCAGGTAGTCAACCCTCCACTGGGAAACATTCAAAGTCATGGCAGGTGAGATAGGGGAAGACTATTCACGGAGGGAACATCTACTCGGCAGTTCATGGGAATCTGCAAGGCATACACCACCCATTGCTCAGACCAAGGCTGCACGTGACCGGGTGTTTGAGACCTGGCAGTCACAATGTCTACTGCTCTTCCTGCATCCACAGAGCCAGTCATCTCATCATGAAGGCAATCGGGTTGGTCAGGCCTGACTTGCCCTTGGTGAATCTATGCTGATGGTACCTAATCACCTTCTCTTCCAAGTGCTTAGAAATGGATTCCTTGAGGACCTGGCCCGTGATTTTTCCAGGGACTGAGGTGAGGCTGACTGGTCTGTAGTTCCCTGGTTCCTCCTCCTTCCCTTTCTTGAAGATGGGCACTAGATTTTCCCTTTTCCAATCATCCAGGACCTCTCTTGATTGCCATAAGTTTTTTCAAAGATACGGCCAGCAGCTCTCAATTGTATCAGCCAGCTCTGTCTCAGAGACTGGGACTGTGGTGCAAACTCTGGCTGTCAATGAGGGGGCACATGATGCTCATGATAGCAGTGCTGCTTCTGTACACTGCACTGGTCTTCACCCTCTTGCTCGGTCACCCCCCCAAAGCAAATTATCCACAGAATCCAGAGGTCCATACACATCTTCTTCTGGGGCTCCAAATGAGAGAAAGTGATGAGAAAAACCTTGTACAAGACAGAATGGACAGGGAGAGCCAATGAATACCAGATGTCCTGCTATTCCTCTGGGCCAAACACAAGCCAGATCTGCAAGCTGGCAACCAGGGCAGGGTCTAAAACAGCCTGCTTCATGAAGTATTTTGCAAGTCACATGCTACAACTCTGGGGAGTGCACATACTGCCATGCATGAGTCTAGCAGCTTGGGAACTGTTGTGATTCTGCAGAACCCTGGAGCAATTCTCTAGCAAGTACAAACTACAGGGGAAAGGCCCAATGACCCCATCAGGTCCAGTGGGGCTGGACCCAATGATCTTGCGAGGTCCCTTCCAGCCCTAATGTCTATGAAATCTATGAAATAATGAACCACTGCAAGATACAGGAGGTGGTGAGGAAGATAGACGTCGTGTCACCCGTGAACTTACTCCCTGCTGACAGCTGCCAGGCCGTGTGGGGGAGGATCTTCCACAAGGACCTGGAGAAGAAGAATCTGTCCATGTCTGAGTAGCATTCTTTTGCCTCCCACCTGTAAAGGGAGTTCAGGAGTAGCAACCAACACTGCAGGGCTGGCTGCATCCCTGCTGCCAGCCTCCCCTCCCCACACCAGGGGGTATAGACCACACCATAGGCACAGCCAGAGACTTTTCTTTAAGTCCCCAAATCATATAAGAATTGTCTCCCCTCCCGTGCTCTCAGCACCCTCTTCTTTCCCTTTATATGCCCAGCAGCATCTCTCCTTCACTCCCTCTGCTGTGCACCACTGCTGCTGTCCCCACTGTCCCTGGCTGGCCTGGGGGCAGGGGAAGCTCCAGAGCTGCTCTTGTCCCATTGCAGCTGGACTGTGTGGGGAGCCAGGCTCAACCAGAGCAGCAACAGTGGAGGCAGCAGGCATGTTCCCCCTCTCCGAGCCTGCTCCCAGGCTGGTAGAGAACACCTGGGGAGACCAGGCGGGGAGGAACCTGAACACTACTACCAGCCCTGTTATGCCACTGTAGAATCTGCTGCT